ATTAAAGCGACATTGTCTATCTGTGACTATATTTAATATCTAGTTATGACCGTACCCATTCCACGTCGCTGACAAAATACTTACAAATTGTCTATGACTTAATTGATGCCTCCAAGCAATCACTAGATCATATTAATTGCTTTGTATAATGTCAAAGAAAATGACTCGCTTGATGTTAAATTAATTGGTTGAATTAGAAAGCGTCGGTAACAAATTATTTCCATCTTGGCACCTTGCCAAAAATACGAGCAACAACATAGGTGTAGAAGCGAAAGTTTAATGTAAACTCCAAGCTGGTAATTAGGGGGAAAATCAACATAAGCTCCTACACGTGCGGCGTTACTTTAAAACGAGATTAAAATTAGCCTTCAGCTGTGGACAAGCGGTAACTTGATTAGGGATAAAGCTCACTTGTCAGCAAGTTTAAAGTGCTTTTTTTCGTTTTGGAGAAAATGGGATATTATAATAGATTAAAAAATACAAGATATCGTTTTATATTAAGTAGATATAAGTATATAATGTGAGGTCATTAAAGAAACCTATAACGTCGTCGTATTACATGATTGTGAATTTAATTAATTGCCCAACTAATTGTTACATGATTTTGTGTGTTAAAACTATTATATTACATTTATACTTAGGCTATCTTTTAATTAATATTGACGAATAATGCGAAAGAGGGAACAACAAGGAAAATGTAACAATAAAGAAAACGAAATCGCGGGTGATAGATTTAGATTAACTTTAGTATCTTTTGAAATATAAATAAAAATGAAACAAACATTAAACATACTAGACGATTTACTATGTGTGTAACCGAATTTACAAATAAACTTAAACATAAGCTACTTGTAAAACCCCACATAAACATATATATGTTTGTATATGCCCTAAAAATAAATAGGACAATCCACGGTCACTTAAGACTCCGAAAGGTCAAATTGTCTCGGCCCCTAATTAAGGAGCGACAGAAATCCTGATAAGATAAACCAGGGGTATTTTCACGACGCCGGCAATAAGAGTAATTTATACTTATAAATAATTAGCATATTAATCTAAATTTTAATCATACCCGTATCTATTGCACTACTCACAATATGAGACCTGTTTGAAATTAAACTATTATAGGTCCTAATTTCTTCGTAATTACAGTTGGTTTCGGCCATATTCTGGGTCCTGAATTCATAAACTCAAAGTAAGTATACTTTACTTGTTTTACTTACAACTTTATTTCCCCATCAGTTTTATTAGTAGTACATGCTTAAACTATATGCGACAGAGGTCCTACCAGAGCAATAATGAGGCTCCTTTTGGTCGCCGTTTTCTAGTTCGCTTAGTATGTAACGAAATGTTTGTACCTATATCTAGCCAATTTCACATAGTGTGAATTACGAGCAGATTTTATCTGCATATCTACTGGTCCGATATTACACCTGAATTTAGTGTCGTATGTTACCCGTTTTAGTTTTGAGACTAGTTGTCGCTATGTGGCAGCTCGAGGGCTATTAATTAGTATATCTAATAAAGACACGAGTATTTTTATAATATACAACAACACAAGGTCTGTAATATATAATATAATATATCTCACAACATATAATATGACAATTATATTCGTCTCATTCATGCCACAACATTGTTTTCATAATTACAAAGTTATAATTGGGACAAAGTTAGAAAGTGTCCTACATTCCAAACGTATTCATTGTATATCTATATACATTTATACCTATATATTACAATACATTTGGAATAACACCTTATAACTTTTACCCAAATAATGAATGTATTTATTAGGTACTTATTCCTGAACAAACGTAAATACAATTTATTTCGACCTACCCTCCCTTGTAACCAGTGACACCTACTTCATTTCAGAAGCCTCAAACAAGACAGACTCATAAAAATGATGTGGCTTTAATTCTCTGGCAAATTAAAACGAAATACCACTTAAAACGTTATTTACTCGAAGTCACTCGAGACAAAAGCAAGAGGGTTATTAACTGGCTACACTGAAGGGTGGGCGAATTTTATTGGCAATTAAATTATTTCAACTTTACTGTTTCATTGAGTTATTCAAAGAAAACAGATAATTTCGACGGCTTATTTCCGCGGTGGTCCCTACGGATTTGTGCTTAATTCTAGAAATTAATTTGGAAGTAGGACACCCATTTACATCTTTATATAATGCTGGAATTTTTAATCTTCCTTCGTGTTAATCGCAATCTAAATTCTTCTCAGATAAGACCCATTAACATATCAGTAGTAGTATGTAGCTGGCTAGAGTTTCAGCTTAGTATTATATTATCTAAAAACATTATTGTATGGATTTGTTTTTTTTTTGTAATTGGAATGACAAATATAAAAAATGGTGACGCTGAAGACTGACGGCCGATCTGATGGTGAGCGGTAACCGTCGTCTATATACACTACGGACGTCACGTTATGTTCTGATATCCGCAATATCACTCATGTGTTGCCATTCCTGAGAACTATTATGGCTTTTATCCTATAATTTCACCCATACAGACAATTGTAATACTTATTTAATATTATATTTATAACTTTGTTTTCTCAGCTGTTGTATTGTTATGAACTTTAGCACTTGCGTAATATTATTATTGGTACTATAAAGGTGAAAGTATTATATTTTCTTATATATAAAATTCTCGTGTCACAGTTTTCGTTCCCATACTCCTCCGAAACGGCTTGACCGATTCTCATGAAATTATGTGAGCTTATTGAGTAGGTCTGAGAATCGGCCAACATCTATTTTTCATCCCCTTAAATGTTAGGGGTAGTCCATTCCTATATATATATATATATATATATTTTTCTAGACAAAATTTTTGGTTTCTATTTTTTTATGATACAACATACAAAAATACATACAATCCTCAATTTTCACCCTTCTATCATCAACCCCTATTTTTTTATAGCGTTATTAATTTATATGGCAAAACAACGTTAACCGGGACAGCTAGTTAGCTGTTGATACGACATGATTCCAGCCGCATTTATATTAATTAATATATTTTTATTTTGCATTACAGAGTGTCTTAGATTTGATCCTGCGTAAGATCTGCAGAGCCAAGTTTTAGATTGCTTTTGTAATATCCCTTATAATGAATATAGTAATATAGTAGTGCGGGAGTGAGTTACTTTGAAGTGTCAATGTAAAAATAAGAAATGTTTGGGCATGCGGAAAGAATATTGGATGTAAGGGTAAGGAAATAAGTAACGGATAAACGCTATCTGATAAAGACAGCGATAGGATCGACTTTCTTGTGTTGAATTTGAATATACACTATTACTTTTAGCGTATCAAATACTGAAGTGTTTTTAAAATGATATTTATTTTCTGAAAATATTATACTTAAAATTTCTACCGAATGACGGTTAATAATTTATTTCTTGTTCATAATGAAGAATACAAAATGATCATATTTATGATATATACAAATATGTCGAAACTAATTATTACTTCCTTATCAATCCCAATATTTATATCTTACCTGCCGCAGTGAGGCAGTAAGTACGTTAAATAGCGACACCACAGTCACCATTCATGGTCGTCAGTTCATTGAAAATTTTAATTAAAATTGCTTTAATCTCTTAAGTCTGCCAATATTATATAATTTGACAATAACTTGTTCACGTGTAAAGGAAGGATCTATTGATATCGTAAACAGCTTGAACTCAGTTCAACGCAGGATTCTAACTTGATTAAACAGGTAACCCTTTGTTAGTGGTGTTTGTTACGTCGGCCTTAATTTAGTTTGCACTGGCATCGCTGTCAAAATTGCCACGAACGGGATGGCAAAATTGCCTCGTCTGACACATAGTCGCAGTCAACGTCAAACATCTTGTCAAGATGTCAGGTCTTAATTGCAGTTATTGCTGCTCGCTTTACTCATCGTTCTCATGTAGTTACTTTCAGTTTACTAAACTATTATTATAAAGATGAAAGATTTCAGATTTGTTTGAAGTTGATAAATAATTCTATCTATATATAATCTATTAAAGATGTTAGTGAGTAGTTATAACGAGTAGACTTCTATTAAAACAAATAGATATACCTACAATATGAGTAGTGTGAAGCCGAAAAGAGTAGAGTTTTATCCAGCTTTCAGTTTAAAACATTTCGATTAGAATAAAATAAAATGTTTTATTGTACGTAAAAGTTTAATTAATAAGCAAATAAAATTATGAACTATTAGATATATTTGTTTGTTAAATTGTGACGACTACACGTTCTATAAAAGTTTTCTTCTAGTCCTATTAATTTGTTCGTTAATTGCTAAGTCTATAACACTCTAAGTTCTAATCAGTCTAAATAAATAGGGCAAAACTAATTTAACTGATTTAGTAGCTCAGATCCCCCAAAGCCTCTGATTTGTTAGATAAAAGCCTAAAACGTTCGATCTAAGCGATAATATAGTAGAGTGAAAAGCAATTAGTTTACATCAGTAATAATAAACACTTAAAATGTACTTTGAAAACTGCTATAAAGCTTCAAATTTATTGATTTATTAGTCTAAGCTAGAATATTACAATTAATATACAAATAGCAATTTTGAGAACTGAAAACTAATATATCATGGAAGTATACATTTGATAACATTAGTTTTAGAGTTGACTTAAAATTTATTTATTTGTAAAATATTATATATAAAATGTATAATTTCATGACTGTTGTGATGGCGGACTGTATTAGGCTGGTTTAAAATGATAAACGTTCCGATAAAATTGCTATATCCAGCTAGAAGAGCATACACGTAAAAACAAGGAATTTGACATTAGAAAACAATCAAATACACAAATATATAAAAAAACTATGAAAAAGGTTGCATTCGGCAACAACAGTTATCCCAGGTAGGGGAAGAATTGTCAACTATTGATCCTATGGTGAACGCTACACTTGACATACCACAATTAATATGTAGGTATATTTAATCTGTCAGAGTGTCTTTCATTCATCGTATCGAAGTGCTTGCATATGGTCGTGTTACAGAATAATTGCAAATTATTTAATTCACCTACTTTCAAAATTGAACATTATTGCATAGATCGTACTGGCTACTTTCAAGTGAAGTGTTGTGTATAATTTGAACGAAATAAACATTACATAACTGTTGTCGTCTCTCTCCTGCATCGCGAGAACAAACTCCAACCTGAAGGGAGCCCTGTCCTCTACCCCGCCGTAATAAAGAATAGCTGTATTTTTTGCTCTTTCGTGCCTTTGCAACTGCATCAGGATTGTTATTGCGTGACCAATAATGGAGCGAACTCCGACAAAATACTCGTCAAATCCAGATATACCCTCTTTTACTGATAAAAGTTGTAGTAACGCAAGAAAAAGGAAACAACCAGATCACTGGAGTGAAGATGAGCTTTCAAAAAACCAGCAATGGTTTCATAGGATGTTTACAGAAAATATGGCCCAACTACAGGTCAAGATGGCTGAGAGTATTACTGCCTCGATCACCGCTGTAATGAACACCACATTATCAGTTGAAATCGACAAAATATCGAACACTTTGACTAATTTAGATATTACAATTAGTAAATTAAGTGCTGAAAATATTCAAATTAATAAATCCATAGCAGATATTAAGACTCAATTTACAGACATAAACCAAACACTTGATTTTGCTATTAAGCGACAGGATGATCTCGACAGCAGTCTAAATACTTTAAAAAAAGGAATACAGTCTAGTAGAAGTTGTGAAGAAAGAGTAATGTTATTGGAAAATAGGATATCAGTATTGGAACAATCTGCGAGAAAATGTAACATAGAAATAAGTAATTTGCCAGAAAGACGCCAAGAAAATTTATTGTCAATCCTGGAAACATTAGGTACTGTTTTAAATTATCCCATAAAGATCTCGGATGTAGTAGCAGTGCATCGTGTTCCGCATGCGGATCAGGGTAACACCAGGCCTAAGAACGTGATAGTGAACTTTACCACCCGTGTCATCAGAGATAATGTTATTGCAGCATGCCGGGCTAAAAGGGGTTTGAAGTCAGACCAGCTAAATATCCCAGGTACTCCACAAAATATTTACGTTAATGAGCATCTTACATTAAAAAATAAAGCATTATTTCGACAATGCCGAGATACTGTCAAACACCACGGTTTCAAGTACGCCTGGGTCAAACATGGCATTATTCTGGTCCGTAAAAATGACACCTCGCCGGTACTCGCTATTCGCACCGAAAGCGATCTCAGTAAAATTAAATAGCTTTATCTATATTAATACAATTCAATATGTGATAAGTTGTTTTTCATTTTGTGTCAATATGACCTCTTTTGTTATATTTATAAGGACTCATGTGAGTATTACTAGCCATTATTTAATTATTGGAGCTACTTTCTCAATAAAATTACAGTCTCAGTTTCTATATGTGTTATGGAGAATGTCTGTTTTGAAGTTAATCGATGTCCATACTATATATGTATTTCCTTTATTTATAAATATTGATACTTTGTACAAATATAACACATATATACGGATAGTGTATCTTAAACTAAAACACTGCACAATGACCTGTTTTTGTATTTATAATATACTATATGCATTTCAGAACAGATCTAATCGTGCTGTATTAATAATATTAATAAAAAATAAGCATTGGCTTGGCCAACTATTTATATCTACCAGCTTATATAAACATTGTAATTATGAGATAATATGTATGTATTCATCAATTTTATGCAATAATAATTGCAAAAATCATATGTTTTTACATTTATTTATTCGTTATTATTTTTTCATTATGTTATGTATTTGTGATGAGTTGTATATAAAAAAACAAAAAAACTTTGTTATTGATTGTAAGATTACTATTCTGGGCAAATTTTGTCATGGGGTATGTGCGTGCATTTATTTATACATTGGTTACCTGTATGTGTTGGGTGCAAGATGTTATGTTGTATATCATCACAAGGGGATTACAATTTATATGAAATTGATTCATTTTGAAGTTACATATATTACTTACATATATACTTGTGGTGCTAAAAACATATTACTTATCAATTTATATATTGCTTCCTGTACAAAAACTTCTTATAAGATATTTACAGTAATAATGGTTACTATTTTTAAAATAAACTAGTGGATTATTTATCAGTATACTATCAAAACTCTCGAGGGTTAAGGACTAAATTACATACACTATATACAAACATATTGTTGCATAATTATGATATAATAATTTTGACTGAAACTTGGCTACATCAGGGTATATATGATAGTGAATTTATAGATGGCCGATATCACGTATACCGTTGTGACAGAGACCGTGAGGCATCCGGGCGGCGAGACGGTGGCGGCGTATTGGTAGCCGTACGCCGTTCGCTAGCCGCTGTTCCTCACATAGTGCGCCCCCCCCTTCCCCCCCGATGCCTACCGGCTCCCGTTGTTGATCATGTAATAATTGAACTGCGCGAGAGTAATGGTCCGAGTTTCTTTGTGTGTGCCGTGTATATTCCGCCAAACCAAAACGCAGAGGTTTATTTGTCATATACAAATTACATACAACATGTTGTTCAACAGTCTAACATTCAAAGATACTGCTTGGTAGGTGACTATAACGTGAGAAGTCTGGACTGGACACCTAGTGGAGCGGGGTCATCATCACTGGACCCTTTGTATACTGATAAGTCTACCTCTATTGATCGGCACCTAGTAAATTTTTACAGACTTATGAATTGTTATCAATTTAATAATTTTAAAAATAAAGATAATAGGATTTTAGATTTATTTATGACAAACATTGATAACTGCAAGTTATGCCCAGCTATTATATCCTTGGTGCCTATAGACGAATATCATCCTCCTTTTTATATGCTTGTGCCATTTCAAATACACATAAATTTTATACCTACTAAACCTCATCTTAGGTTTTTATTTAAACAGGCAGACTATTCCGCTGTCAATAGGGAATTGAATAATGTAAAGTGGTATGATCTGCTTGCTGACAAAGATGCTGAAGAAGCAGTGGAAATCTTTTATGAAATTATATATGGACTTATACGAAAATATACTCCAACAAAAATTGTAAAGGACTCGAGTTTTCCACTTTGGTTTAATTCAGCTTTGATTCATGTTTTTAATGATAAAAAGAGAGCGTGGATAAAATGGAAGAAATATCATAATCGTATAAAAAAAAGTTATAAAGATTATATTGTTAATGTTGAAAAAAATATGAAAAACAATATAAAATATTTTTGGACATACATATCTAATCATAAAAATAAAAATGATATTCCAGACACAGTTTTCCTTGATAATGAAATAGCTAGCAATCCCACTGATGCCTGTAATTTATTTTCAAAGTATTTTGAATCTGTTTTTGTACCTACAAATTTAACTTCTAATTTTAATATTGAGGATACTAATTACAATGCAAAGTCGGAAGATGGAGATTTATCAATTGGAGATCTCATTTTATGTGAGGATGATATACGTAACGAGCTAAAATGTTTGGATGTAACAAAGGGTTCAGGGACAGACAATATATCACCGATATTTCTAAAATATACGATGAATTCTATACATAAACCGTTAAATATATTATTTAATAAATGTCTACAAGAAGGCGTTTGTCCAGCGATTTGGAAAACTGCCCGAATAATCTGTGTACATAAGGGAGGTTCGAAAAATAATGTCGAAAATTATCGCCCCATATCCATATTGTCTGTACTGATGAAACTTTTAGAAAAACTAATACATAAATCATTATATCCATGTTTACATGGTATAATAATACCGGAACAACACGGCTTTGTACAGCGTCGGTCGACATTGACTAATTTAGCCATATACTCAACACATTTATTTAATAATTTAGACAACCAGAAACAGACAGACAGTATATATACTGATTTTAAAAAAGCCTTTGATAGGGTGGATCATAAAAGACTTTTAGAAAAAATAGCATACAACGGTATACGTGGTAATTTATGGCGGTGGTTCAAATCATATATCACCAATAGATCACAAAAAGTAGCTATCAATGGTTATGAATCGAATTTAGTATCAATTAGTTCCGGTGTACCACAAGGATCGATACTGGGTCCTCTTCTTTTTGTAATATACATTAATGATATAAGGAAATGTTTTAGGTATTGTAAATTTCTGCTATATGCCGACGATTTAAAAATGTACCATATTATTGATAGCCCAGAGGATCATCTCAAATTTCAAGAGGATCTTAATAGACTGACCTTTTACTGTCATACTAATCATTTAAGCCTAAACCTCAATAAATGTAAGATTATTAGTTTTACTAAGAAACGTACCTTGAGTAATTATAATTACATGCTTGATAATCATTATAAATTAGACACAGTACAATGTATAAAGGACCTAGGGGTTACTTTCGACGCTAAACTTCAGTTTCATACTCATATTGAAAATATTGTAAACAAGGCATATAGCATGTACGGTTTTGTCGCGAGACGAACACCAGATTTCAAGAATCCTGAAATTTATTTATATTTATACAAGTCATTAATTAGATCGCAGTTGGAATATGCTACCGTTATATGGAATCCTTATTATAATGAGTATAATAATAACATAGAAATGGTGCAAAAAAAATTTCTACGGTATTTTCAATTCAAATGCTCTCATAATAAACTTCCATACAAATTAATGTTATCAAAATATAACTTATTAGACTTGAAAAGTAGACGCACTCAACTGGACATGACATTTTTGTATGATCTTGTGCATGGTAAATTTGATTGTAATACTCTAACAAGGCAAATTTATTATCGAGTTCCGTTTCGCACGAATAATCGAGCAACACGCAAACATCAACTGTTCTCTTATACTAAATGTCGTACTAATTCTGGTAAGCGCATACCACTTAATCGAATATCTAACAACTATAATAGTGACTTTAGTGAAATAGATTTATTCTCCTGTAAACTTTCTTCTTTCAAAAACCAAATAACGAATGAACTGAGGCGTAAATATCATCTTTCGTAACTAACATAATAATTATTTGTAGTATTGTAATCTACAGTGTATTCATCATAAAATTTTTAGTTTTTTTTTTTTTTGTATTATTAATATAAAATAGTTTTGTTAAGAGTTGGTAGTGGTAGTTAATTAATAAGTAATATAATCTCTGTAACATGCCTTAGGCAGTATTTGTTATAATTATAGTAATCAGTGGTTAACGTAGTGGGTGACACATTTGTTAAAATTTATTAGTAAATAGCCATAAGTCATATATATAATGTGTAACTGTTTGTTGACCTAAATAAATTAAAAAAAAAAAAAAAAAAAAAAAAGAGGTCCTTATCGCTGTCTCTCTGATTAATTAGGTTCTTTTATTTATTAAGATTTTATTGCATCATAATTACATTACAAAGAAAATAGATTATAGAGTTATGAGGTACAAAGGCGGTCTTATTGCTCTATCAATAATATCAGATAAGCACATTAGGACATATTGCCACAGGGGAGTCACAATTATGTTGATGGCCAGATTCAAACTTAGAACCCGATCTAATTCGTAGTACTAAACCATTAGGCTATGAGTCAGCATTTAATTTATTATTATTATTGTATTCAGTGTTCTGCGTCCTTTTGGAGAGCAAAAGTCTTCTTTAACTGCTTTCACTTATCTTCCTCCTTAGTCGAGGCGTAGGCGTAGGCGTGTTATTATTTTGGGATTCCTGAGCGAATTATTAACAGGCTGGTACACTAGAACAGATATTGTATATTTCCTTTGTATTTATTCTACATCTACAGAACTGTGTTAAATGAATGACTAAATAAATAATGTTGGATTGCGGGTAAGCTTCACTTGCGTTATTCAAATACTACCAATTTATTCACGACAATGATTAAGTAATACCTACCTATTATTATAAAACATATTTTCAAACAATAATGCGTACAATGTAAAGCGAACTTATACGAGTGTCCTTATTATTATTTATTATATTGTTGTTTTTTTTTTCACAGAAGACATATATAAATAAAGATAAATATAACCTCAATCAAGTCAGTTATAAATATTCTATATTCTTATTATTTTATCCATATGATAGCTCGGTGATATTTCACTGTACGAGTATGAAATGGATCTTTGCTTTTAGGAGATGAATGTTAGGATATTTTCCTTACTACACTAGCTTGGTATAGGAGTTTGTATCGAATCAATTGTATTAATACAATTGCTTTGTTCCAGAAAACTTTTAGGAACTCATGGTGAAGATAAGGATGTGTAGGATTATGTTTTAGCATGTATAAACATTATTTTTTTATATAATAAGAAATAAAATAAATCCTAAACCGATGACTTAAAATTTGAGATAACAGTGTAGGTATAGTCGGAAGGTGATTGTTAGCAATGGGTTTTAATAATGGGGCTACCATTGCTAGTAATGTGTCCCTCTATCAGTCGGCCTATGCGCCCATAATGAATTTCAAGTGAATTTATCACGATGAGCACCATCAAATTTAGTATAACATTAGTCCATCGTAGTGTACCATACTCGTATCATAACAATACATTAAAAATATAGTAAATGATATGGTATGTATCTCTTTAAAAAAAATAAAGTATAGTG